ACAACAACAACAATAATAATAATAATAATAATAATAATAATAATAATAATAATAATAATAATAATAATAATAATAATAATAATAATAATTACTATTATTATTAATATTACTTATTATTATTATTATTATTATTACTTTTATTATTATTATTATTATTGTAATTAAGTTGCACAATAAGAAAATATTCTTGATAGATAATTGTGCAATAAATAATGCTTGATAAATAAATAAATCAAAACTAGAAAAATAAAGATTTTGTGTAAGACGACGTTTTATTGGTTTTCTAAAATTTGTAAGTTAACATATTAATTTGAAAAGTATATTTATATTTTTCATAAAAATCATTATGATCTTACAACAATTACATCGTGTTCGGTCTTATTTTAATCGGGAAAGGCTCACGGTTGCATTGGAGAATCCTAAATCTTAAAGGGTGTCGTACCCTTATTCGTATCCGCGGGCCTTGGACGCCTTGAACATGGCGACCAGAGAGTCCAAAGTTTCCAGAGCTGTGGGCTCAATTTGGTCGGCCGGAAGCAGGAAACCGTGGCGACCGGTGTCGCGCAGCTCGTACGTGTATGTGATTGGTTTGTGGAAGGTTCCCTTCACCCAGTCGACAGAGCTTCCAGTAGCAACGTCTAAAACACGGATATTAAGGATATTAAACGTGAGACCAGCGGGAATAAATATTCGTCGGTTGTTCGATAATTTTGTCAATTTAGATATCGATAATATATTCATATTCAATTAATGTACCGATAATACGATTTCTAATTGACTTGATATTATGGTGACATTATTGTAGTAATATCACATTAATATATTTACGTTAATATTATTGTGTTGATATCGTGTTAATACATTATGTTGATATTATTATGATAATATCATGTCAATATCGTGTTAATATATCATGTTAATATTATTGTGTTAATATCGTATGTTAATATATTATGTTAATATCATATTAATATATTATATTAATATTATTATGATAATATAATGTTAATATATTTTCTATATATTATTACGATTAATATCGTGTTAATACATTATATTAATATTATTATAGTTAATATAATATTAACAAGCCGAGGAACAATGGGAGAGAATTTACAGTAACACGATCGTAATTGATTGAATTTCATCGTATGTCGTGCTCACAGATAGTTTCAGCAACGTTTCCGGTTTGGTATTTCGTTCCATAGCGTTTCGCAAGGGCCTGGATAGTCAGCTTGCCGATTTCCAGCTGTGGAAACAAGGAAAATAAATAAATACATATACATAAATGTATATATGTATATATTTAAATTTATGTATGTTTGTGTCTAATACGTTTGTGTATAAATAAATACATACATATAAATACATATATATATACGACTTTCTGTCGCCGTGTAATCACTTGGCCAGTGAATGAATGATCGCCTTATTATTGTGCAAGTAAAAGTAAATCATCCGACGTTTATTATCGATCGATACGATGGCTCGGTTATCGTTCAAGATGCCGCAAAAATGCTCGATAAGATCGAGCGCGTTGATAAAATTATGAGCAACGTGTCCTCGATGAAACAGAAACATTTACGTGCGCGTTTGATAATGAAACCGACCGCTTCTGATCGACTCGTGAATTTTTTCGAACACAGGCATTCTCCTGCTATCATCGGCTGTCTATCAACGAGTGATTTGTCACAACCAACGAGTGATTTGTTGTATCTATTACTTATTTATATGTTTTCTCCAAGTCTTGTAGAAAATTATTTAAAATATATATTAAATATATATTAAAATATATATTAATTATATACTAAAATATACATGAACAAAGAGAGTCCAACGTATTACTAACAACATATTTAATATATTAAAAATTATAATTTGCAATGAATATATAGGGTATCCCAAAAATATCTCGTAATCCGGAAATGGTGAGGTTATTCCTGAGGTCATTTGAAGTAACTTTTTCCTTTGCAAGAATTTTCTACGAGGCTTCGTTTACGAGTTATTGACGAAAGACGCTTGACCAATGAGAGGCTAGCGCGCGCGGCGCTAGGCGACCAAGCTAATAAGCGGAACCTGCGCCTCGACCGCTTGTTGGCTCGGCCGCCGCACGCCTGCCGCGCTTGCCCTCTCATTGGTCACTGTATTTCGTTAATAACTCGTAAACGAAGCCTCGCAGAACATTTTCGCTAAGGAAAAAGTTGCTCTAAATAGCCCCAGGAACCCTCCATTTCCGGATCACGAGTCATTTTTGAGACACTCTGTATCTGTTAAATATCAAAGCTCGTCTGATCGTTATCCACTGCCCAAGCAATTAATTTGTTTCGTTAAAATTACATTATTAAGAGAATTAAAGTAAGAACGTGTTTTAAATTACACAGGCGTAGGACTGGCGCAATGAAATTCACGGCAACCTGAAATCTGGCATTTCCGGGAGAAATGATTGTATTAAGAATCGCCTTTTCGTCCACGAAAAATCTTCTACTCACGGAATCGCTATAGTTCTCGAGGTGATCTCTCGTGTGGCCGTAGGGGAACATCAGAAGCTGCGAGTAACTGTGGAAGCCGACATAGGCGTAGAATTTGCTCGAGATCGACGTGATATATTCGGACAACGTCTTGGTTTCCGTCTCGGAGAACGCGGAGCTTCCTCCGTAAGTCTCGCTGCAAGGGTTGTTGCTGGCACCGCCGGCTGTGAAACGAACGACAAATTAATTCGCGCGATTCCTTTTTTTTAACGTTCTTCGAATCGATCGTTATCGTTTCAACTTACTCATCCATTTGTAGCCCCAATTCCTGTTCGGGTCGCTTCCGTAGCACATGGAATTGTACGGCTTGCGCGTCTTCCTCCATAAACGGTTCTGAAACACACATCATATTATGTCATATCGCATGTTTGTGTTAATACATATTTTTTATTTTACGATACTAAAATATACACATACTTAATATATTAAATATATTGTTAAATATATTATAATATATTTAATATGTTAAAATATACATTTAGCATATCAAAATATATTTGTATTTAATGTATTAAAAGATATATATATATATATACTTAATATATTAAAGAATGTACGTATTTAATATATTAAAAAATATATGTACTGAATGTATTTAAAAACATATCTGCTTAGTATATTAAAAAATATATATACCTAGTATATTAAAAATATATGTACCTCATATATTGAAAAAAAATATATATACAGGATGTCCTAAAATTATGGTATTTCCAGGAAACGAGGGATTTCTGAGGTGATTTGAAGCAACTTTTTCCTTTACAAAAATGTTCTCCGAGGCATCGTTAACGAGTTATTAACGAAAAACACTGACCAGTGAGGGGCGAGCTCGGTTGGCGCGAGGCTGCGTCGGTCATCTGACGCAGCGGCAGTGGCCGCGTGGGCGGAGCGTCAGCCATACGCGATCTCTCATTGGTCAGACGTCTTTCGTCAATAGCTCGTAAACGAAGCCTCGTAGAAAATTTTTGTAAAGGAAAAAGTTGCTTCGAATGACCTCAGGAATCTCTAAATTAATTTTGGGACATATATATATTAAATATATTGAAAGCTCACCGTGGTATGCGTGTAGACATAGCCATCAGGGTTGAAGACCGGGAAGATGTACCACTCGTGGGATTCCGCGAGCGCCCTGACGTCCGCTTGATTGCTGGTCAGCAGCTCGTTCAGCACGTACAAGATGGTGGCAGGCGAGATCCATTCTCTGGCGTGGATGCCGCCCTCGATGAAGATGCCGGGTTTGTTCTGGCCGAAGGTCAACTTCACGCCCTTGATGTCGCGACCCTGGTAAGTCTTACCGCCGACGACCACCTGGACCTTGTTGGGATAAGCCTTGGCCAGACTGTCCAAGAACGCGTAGATGTCCTCCAATTTGTGGTAGTTCTTCAAGTCGAATGTCGCCAAAGGCTGGGCCGGCGGTTGCTCGCTGTCGATCAACGTCTGAACGTTTGGGACGTAGATCTCGTGGGCGAGTCCGAATTTGTCCATCATCTCGATGAACTCGGGTTCCTTGTGCGGGGCCACCATCACGTCGGCATTGCGACCGATCTCGCTGGGTCCTTTCCAGAAGGAGTACTGTAAAATTCCGCGCAGGGGGATATTGTGACAGTGATTTTTAATTGTAAATCGAAGAGACGAAATGCTGATGCGATTTCATTACGCGACAAGAAGATGGCACGTTTTATAATTGACGTGGTTTTTATTTATTGAATGTTAGAATCAAGGTTTCATTTTCATACAGACTTGAAAAATACCACTACGAACGTATACGAATGAAATAGAATTGAATCTGGAGAGTCGGGACAATTTGATTTGACTAGAAAAAATTGTTATGGAAATATAGCGCGACGAGATGATAGCATATTTTATAATTAACGTGGTTTTTATTTGTTGGATGCTAGAACCAAGATTTCATTTCCTTTCAGACTTGCAAAATACCACTACAAACGTATTCAAATGAAACAGAATTGAATTTAGCCGGTCAGGATAATTTGATTTGACTAGAAAAAATTGTTACGAAAATATAGCGCGACAAGATGATAGCATATTTAAAAAATAACGTGGTTTTTATTTACTGAAAATTAAAATCAAGGTTTCATTTTCATACAGACTTGCAAAATACCACTACAAACGCATACAAACGAAACAGAATTGAATCTGGCCAGTCGAGACAATTTGATTTGACTAGAAAGAATTTTTATGGAAATGCAAATTGAATTAAAAATTATGTACAGCGATAAATCAATGAAAAATATATTTAACGCTTAATATTTTGTGGCCGTAACCTCGCGTATAAACTCATCGAAATTCTCGGGAGACCTTGCCTATCTACCTTGCCGGTAGATAATTGTACTGCTAAAAAACGTGAGCCAATGGGCTCGTTCGCTCTTTGATAGCGGTCTCGTTCTACTTATTTCCGTCAGTGGAAGTACGCGCGATAGTGCTCCACAAGTGGCTTTATCATTCTAACCGAGATACAATGTAGACTAAGGAGAGCTCGGTTCTTAGTTTCGGGCGCATTTGAAACCGCTAACATAATCATTCTAGCATAGTCGTTTTAAGGGACGTTTGAAACGGGTCGATTTCATAAAGTATTACTTTGTTCGAATAATAATTATTATTACTTCCTTCGTTGAACAATTTCAATTCTAAACGGACCGAAAGTTGCGCTAAATAACTAACTAATAAATAAACTTGTTGATTAATCTGTATAAAGCTCGTGTGAACGAAATAAAATAAATATTGATTTAGAGTCGAAATAAATATTGATTTACAAACAAAATAAGATAAATATTGATTCAAAAGCGAAGTAAAATAAATATTAATTCAGAGACAATGTAAAATAAATATTGATTTAAGGTGATGAAATAAAGTAATTATTAATTTAGAAACAAAATAAAATAGGTATTAATTCAAAAGCGAAGTAAAATAAATATTAATTCAGAGATAATGTAAAATAAATATTGATTTAAGGGGATGAAATAAAGTGATTATTCATTTAGAAACAAAATAAAATAGATATTAATTCAAAAGTGAAGTAAAATAAATATCAATTTAGAGACAATATAAAATAAATATTCATTTAGAGAGGAAATAAAATAACTATTTATTTAGGGACGAAATGAAGTAATTATTAACTTAGAAACAAAATAAAATACTAATTTAAAAGCAAAGTAAAATAAATATTTATTTGAAAACACAGTAAAATAAATATGAAAGCTACTCCAAAAAAAATTGCCAATCTTCATAAAAACGTATACAGTCGCATATTGTACGTACCGAGTCCGAAATCTCTTCGAGATGACGCAAAATTTCCAGTTGGTCCGCGGTCTGCGGAATCACTCGGAACACCTTGTAATTGTCATACTTGACCTTCTCGGCTGACGCGAGGGCGACCAGCGCCACGAGAACTAGCTTCCACATGTTTACAGACTTCTAAAACGATAAACACCACGATTAATAACGATCGCTGGCGCGAATTAATAAAACGAACGAACGGCTCGCGATCGCGACGAAGCAGAATATCGCTGAACTCGAAAGAACCAATCGCGAAGTCGGTGACTACGATTCACGATGAGTGTTCTGACTCGCCGTAAATGCTGTAGGTTTATCGAAAGATTTTTGTATGAACAGGTGCGCGTCGATCGAGCGTTACGCACAACAGCGAACAATTTGTTGTCGAAGGTGCAATTCAACGCGATTCGCGAAGGTGCAATATTGTGCGATTTGTATAAACTTATGACAGATGTATGCACGTTAGAAATGCTTGTTATAGTTCAAACGATCGTGTTTCGTTCGTGGAGGACGTGATTTCTGCGATTTTCATTCTAATAAATCGGATTTTGATTATTGCTTTTAGTTATGCTTTTCAATTATTAGCTTTAATTGTTACTGTTATTACTTTCAATTATTTCTTTCAATTACTTTCAAATACTAGCTTTAATTATTACGTTCAATTGTTACTTTCAATTATTAATTACTTTCAATTATTTCTTTCAATTACTTTCAATTATTACTTTCAATTTTTACGTTAAATTATTGCTTTCAATTATTATTTTCAATTATTACTTTCAATTATTACTTTCAATTATTAATTATTTTCAATTATTACGTTAAATTATTACGTTCAATTATGTTCAATTATTGCACTTAATAAATATCGCTCAAGTAAATTCTCTCCAATTGACCATCAGTTTGAAAACGAAAATGGACAACTTGGGAAGTGGAAACACGATTATTCGAGGCTCGCGGCTCTTTTAGAAAAATAGAAAAATAGAAAAACGAGCCGCGCGGCTCGACTATTCGCGTCTCCTCTTCTGAAATCGTCCATTTCTATTTCCAAGCAGAGGTACAATTTCCGCGAATTTACCGTGCTCGGTACACTTCGCGGACTAAAGCGCAACGAGAAATTGAATTTCTCCGAACAGAAAACTTGGTGAAGTTTATCGAACGAAGTTTAACGAACGTTGCGTCGATTCTTCGCGTGATTAGGAATGGTTGGAAATATATTGAAACAGCGCGAGATTAGTCGTCAAACTATAGACCGATTGACGCGATCGCAATATCGAACTACGTGCGCGGCTCACCGATAACGATTAACACGACGGAGCGCCACTCCGCGACTTGCGATCTTGCTCTGAACGGCCACAACAGTCGTTTGTGTCATCCGGATTCCCCTGATTCTATTTAAACGCGTTCACACCTGCACACGACACCACGAAACAATACAAGTTGGATCGTCGTTTAAAAATCATATCGACGATCAATTAAGCAGCACGTTTATTGGGTCTGAATACATCTTATCGGATTTGATTCGAGCGAATTATCTTGTCGATCGTTGGCCGCAGCCACTCGAAATGTCGTTATGGTTTCGCAACGGTCAGTTGCAGACGATTTTTGAGATCACGGGATAATTCAGACGTGATTAGAAGCTGTTATGATTTTCATTTTTTACAGACAGGTCTCGAGGCGATTCGGGTTGAATCGGTATCTTCGGTCGTCGAGGTGACCGCGATGAGCCGAGTTTGTAAATGTAACGTATTATAAATGTAAATGTAACTGTAAATGTAATGTAAATGTAAACGTAATGTAATTTAATATAAATGTAATATAAATGTAATGTAAATGTGATGTAATGTAAATGTAATGTAATGTAACGTAATGTACCTCTACATGTAATGTAAATGTTATATAAATGTAATGTAATGTAATGTAATGTAATGTAATATAAAACATAATTTAATATAAAATATATAAAAACGTGCACGCGAAGAATTATTTACATGTATGGTGAATGAGTAAGCTTATTGGTAAAGAGAAATGTGTGCTGATAAGGAGATTTAAGTAATTACGCGTTAACATTTCAATCACTCGACAAGAGTCGGCTATCGCGAAAATCATGTAGTCGAGTTTATATTTTCGGACGTGTAAACCTGAAATCTAGATAATGGTGTAACGCGAAAAGAGATCGCACGTTGCGATCCCGACTTGGGATTATAATCGCGTGTTTGTAATCAAAGCCTCTGTCGTAGACTGACAGAGCGATATGTAAAGCTTTGTTGTCTTCCTTTTTTAAGAACATTGTACTATATAAAGAAAGAAACGACGATCGATATTAAGTAAGATTTCAAAAGATAACGAACGCTCCGAGGATTATCGCAAATCCTTTCTTCGGATCGAGGAACAAATATTAATGTTTATTTATTCTTAATATACATACATATATACGCTTCGATTTCAATTATTGCGTGGAAACGAAAAATCATGGAAACACGTGTCCGTCTATCGAGGATTTTATTCAAATAAATGGAACGTGAAAATTAGATTTTCACTTGTACATAAGTTAACTGAACAATTGTGAGGTATGCTATATAGCCTAATGTAATCATATATTGAAATCATAATATAATAATATATATTATATATATATTATTATATATTAATATTATTATTAATATATAACATTATTATTATTAATATATATTATATATATAATATATATTTTATATATATATAGGATGTCCCAAAAATGTCTCGCAATCCGAAAGTAGAGGATTCCTGAGGTGATTTGAAGCAACTTTTTACTTAGCGAAAATGCAATCCGCGGCTTCGTTTACGAGTTATTAGCGAAAAGCAGTGACCAATCAGAGGCGAGATCATTTGGCGCGAGACGGTCGAGCCAATGAGCGGAACTGGGCTTCGTGCACTCGTTGGCTGGGCCACCGCGCGCCAGCCGAGCTCGCCTCTTATTGGTCAGTGTTTTTCATTAATAACTCGTAAACGAAGCCTCGGAGAAAATTTTCGCGAAGGAAAAAGTTGCTTCAAATGACCTCAGGAACCTCCCATTTCCGGATTGCGAGACATTTTCGGGACACCCTGTATATATATGTAGTATCGTAATTTATTAGGTATGTTTAGGACGAGGAGGAGTGTTAGGCTTAAGACCGTAGTTCTAAGACTTTGTGTTTAGGGTAGGCAATAAAAAGAGAAACGTTGGCGAAGGCCGGGTCAGATGGGAAAACCCTTGGCGACGGAGACCCGGCGGATGCGATCGCCACGTATTGAGAAAAGGGCAGGCAGATTGTGTTCGAGAGTCGTCGAGTGAGAAGCGTTACGAGTCGTAGAGTTAAGCGAGTAGTTATAATCTTAGTTGTAGATACGGTACGCGATATTCTCTGTCTTCATCACGCTCAGTCCTTTCCTAGTCTCTACAGATTCAATATTGTTTAAATATTGGACAATTTCTACATAATTTTGGGGGCTCGTCCGAGATTTGAGGAAAATGTAGCGCTGAATGATAACAGTGATATCGTGACTGTAGTAGTTGAGAGTTGAACTTTAGTTGTTGTGTTGCGCATCGAAAAACCTTTTAAGATGTCTGAAGGAAACGATACCATTGTCGAAGTATCACAAGCAAGCCTATCTACTGACAAATTAGAGGAAATTCTAACAATGAAGTTAACCGATTTGAAGAAAGAATTGAAGAGCCGCAAGCTGAGGACGTCGGGAAATAAGAAGCAATTACAAGATCGGCTTAAAGCAGCTATAATGTTGCAAATCGAACATGGCGAAGAGGAAGACGATATTGATGGCAGTGAAGATGAAGAAGAAGGAAGCAATGTGAGACGATGCGTGCGACGGATGCAGGCGTTAACATTCAGGGATGTTGAGGAGTCCATGCGTACATTTAGCGGAGACGATAAAGCAAACATTCGTTGTTGGCTCGAAGAGTTTGAAGACATGGCGGAGCTATGTGAATGGAGTGAAGTACAAAAAGTTATTTATGCGAAGCGGTTATTGCGTGGATCGGCGAGATTGTTCATCGACTATGAAAAATGTTGTCGCAAATGGGTCGAGATGAAGCGAGCATTGAAATCTGAATTTGCTAAAACTGCAGACACGTACAAGATACATAAAGAGTTGTCACGTAAAATTAAAAAATCGAACGAGTCGTATCAAGAATACATTTATCAAATGTTGGAGATTGCGAAGCAAGCGGACATGGGAGTATCAACAGTTATTAAGTATATTATTGACGGAGTTCAGGATTTCGAGACAAACAAAACGATATTGTACGGTTCTAAAAATATACGTGAGTTGAAAGAAAAATCCGAAATTTACGAAGACATGAAGGAAAAATCAAGAACGAAAAACAGGCGACCTGAGGAGAAGAAGAAGACGACCGTCCATGGAACCTCATCACAAGGTGAATCACAGCAAGAGGCACGGCAAGAAATACGGCGATGTTTTTTGTGTGGAAACCGATACCATACGGCTGCAAACTGCCCGACGAAAGAAAGAGGACCCAAGTGTTTTAAGTGTCAAGGCTATGGGCATGTTGCGTCAAGCTGTAACGGTGCGAATGGACCAGCAAGGGATGGGAGTAGTGTGTCTAGAGCGTCGAGAAAGAAGCGAATTAAAGAGGTGCAAGTCGGAAATTGTAAGTTGACAGCGTTAATAGATTCTGGAA